ACCAGAATTGCTAGTCCCAAAAACACCTTCCCCTTGACTCTTGAACTCCATTCTTGATCAGAAATTAATAAAAAAAACCTTTTTTAATTACTGTAATAGGAGAAACAGCACCCAAGAAATTGGTAACATCCGGCCTAGGTCTTCCAAAGAACACTGAAAACAGAATTCTGAACGAAACCAGCTCAAATTCTGATATGAAACAAATAACAGTTCTGAAGTTTAGGGTTTTCTCTCAAAACCCTAAAGAAAACACAGATTTTTCAGCCGCACCTCTCAGACTAAACCAAGATGATCTTCTCTAAAGTCAATCCCAAGAAAAAAGCTTAATTTATGAAAAATTCTCTGGCCGCCACCTTCTGGTTGATGCAAAACCCTAATCTTGAGGATCCAAAGCTTCTTTTGATTCTTCCTGACTAGTGGAACTCTCCCAGACTTCTACAATCTCTTTAGTAGCAGCCACACACTACCAGTAACCTCCAAGAATCAGCCGATCCTCCTTCCTTGTTGAAAAACTTCCAAACCTAGAAGTTTCTCATGCAGTCGGCCTAATCAGACTAGCATAAGAGCTCCTAGGTCGGCTCTGATACCACATAGTCGATCTAGACTACAATCAGTCTTGAATTAAAAAGAAAAAGGATGCAAAATTGAAGAGGAGAAGAAGAGAAGAGAGGAAGAGAAGAGGTACACGAAGAGAGTTTCAGAAAAGAGAGAGGGAAGGTCATAATTTCTGCCGACCCACTCTTACTATTTATATAACTATTGGCTAACTGTAAAAGGGCTGAATTGCTCTTATTGCTTACATGGCAAATAGAATAAGAAATAACTAATAATAAAGCTGAAATAACTACCAACCAACACTGTCATATCTAACAGAAATATTGCTGCCATACGAACATTGTGGGGACCACATCAGTGGGGTCCACATCAGTGTTCTCTACAAGGTGTATCTAGATGCACAGATGAGGCACATATTAAGGCTTATGCATTGCTTGAAGTTAGGTAAAACTGTTAGACAGTTTTGTATGCCCTTAGCTTCAATCAGAATGATGTACTTTATGAGTTTATTGTAAATGAATAAAGATACATATTTGATTCATGTT